CTGATCCATTTAAGGGTTCCGTGTCTGTGAGAAGCTGATCCCTTTAAGGGTTCCGTGTCTGTGAGAAGCTGATCCCTTTAAGGGTTCCGTGTCTGTGAGAAGCTGATCCATTTAAGGGTTCCGTGGCTGTGAGAAGCCGGTCCCTTTAGGGCAAAGTCACCTGGTCCTTCTGTGGTAGCAGCATACTACTGTGTACTGTGCTGCAAAACTTTCACAGTAAACAACTCAGCAGTGAAAAGTAAGGTTTTCCCTTGCAGCTGGGGAATAAGTATTAATTTGTGGCTGAACCTTTAAGTGATTTTTGAGAGTGTGTGTTCTGCGCCAACCCCACCCTCAGGAGAGTCTTGTGATGTATAAAATCGACTCACATGGCAGCTCTTGGTTTTCAAGCCCTTTTTTTCTCTCGTGAAAATAAACCCTTAAATCTGATTAAACCTTAATCAGTTTTGATTTCCCCTGTTTCACCCAATTTAGCGTCATGTGTGGCTTTAAGTCTCCTGGGCTCGGTGGCACGTGTGGGACAAGCTTATTTTATTAAAAGGGGGGGTGCAGCTACTCTCCTTCCTGGGAGGGGACATGCAGATGCAAACGTTCCTGCACTGGTGTGACTGAGTCTCTGTGGGACAGCAGGTTGTTCTTACCCATGCATCCCCCAGCTTATGAAACAGGCCAACGGCATCACAGGGAGAGTAGAGACAGTCCTCCCCCCCATAACCTCAGTGGTACATTCCATCATGGCTCTGTTGTTTGAGGAGTAAATGAGCTGAAGGCCATGCAGGGGCCACGGTAAACCCAGTTAACCAAACAAAGGAAAGTTGGAGGCAAAAACTTTGGCAAGCAACCACTCTTAGTATTGTGTGGTTTTGCTGCCCCCTAGTGGTAGGACTGTGAAGTTCTTCAAAGTAAGACATTGTAATTACATTTTGTTAACATTTGACTTGATGCATCCTCCCTAACACCTAAATTAAATACTTGCATTTCCCATCCCCTAGGGAAGGATGATGCAAGAATGCAGCTGGATAATGCCCTACAGGACGTCAACGTGAAGTACGCTGTCCTGGAGGAAACGGAGAAGAAGGCCGTGTGCCGTGCGCTGATTGAGGAGCGCAGTCGTTTCTGCTCCTTCGTCAGCATGCTGCGGCCCGTGCTGGTGGGCTGCCCCTCCCCCTACACTACCCTCCCCCCCCTACCCCACTCACGCTTCCTCTTCCTTCACCTGAAACACTTCTGTCATCTAATTTTCATTACGGGTGGTAGGGCTGGGCAATTAGTCAAATTTTACTGTCAGTTACAATTGGCTTCCAACGACTGTCAACACAAAATAATCTAGATAGAACGATCGCATCTTGTTCTACGTAATGCTCTCATATCGTCTTGTCATAAATCGAAAATAATCGTGATTATGATTGACCAAAATAATTGCGATTATGATTTTTGTCGTAATTGAGCAGCCCTACCGGGTGGAAAAATGTGCGGAGTGAAATTGAGTTAGTGCCTCGGAGAGTCACCCCTCCTGAATTTGCCCCCTCAGGATGAGGAGATAGGGATGCTGGGAGAAGTGACGCACCTGCAGAGCATCCTGGAGGACCTGAGCGTCCTCACTGCCGAGCCCAACAAGCTGCCCCCTGCCAGCGAACAGGTGTGCCACCCACCCACCCACACACGCACACACAGGCATAAAGTCTCTTTATTATCCAAGTGACAGTCACTTATCCTTTTGATGACAATGTGTCGTGTGTACGCCTTAATCGTCATGGGGCAGACCCAGCTTCAGCTCCATACACTCAGCCGCAGTGCCTTCACTCTTTCCTTACCTTCTCTGTCTCTCCCTCCCTCCTCCATCTGCCTCTCTGTAGGTGATCCTGGACCTGAAGGGGTCGGACTACAGCTACCAGACGCCGCCCGCTTCACCGAGCAACACCATGTCCCGTAAGAGCAGCATCAGCAGGTACGTGGGGGTGGGGGGCGCCCTCACCGACTTGGGGTCAGTCCCAGTGACATACAGGAAGCAGAGCTGGGCGGGGGGGGGGTTGATTATTTCAGCAGCACACTGTTCTTCACTGTATCTGAATCTCTGAGTTTGGGGGGAGGGGTAATTGAAAGAGCAAACAAGTTTGAGTGGCTGGAGAGAGACTATATAGTATGTGTGTGGTGGGGTGGGGGGGGGGCTGTGTTGTTGTTGTACTGCTTGGTTTCCTACTTACCATCACCCCAAAGGTCCCCATAGGCCAGTTCTAAACACTCAGATGGCATGATGACAAGAGGGAACTGACAGTATGACCCAGCAGCCCACAGCCGATGGCTGTTTACTGGGGGGCTTCCTGTCCTTTAAAAAGCGCGGCTCCTCTGTAGCCTCTAACAATGTGACTGTGTCCCGCTGGAATGTGTTTGTGTCTCTTTGGTCCCGGTTGGAGCTTCCTGCCACATGTCCGGCATTCCCTGCTTGCACTCTGACTGGATTCCTGTTTCTACTCTCCCTCCCTCCCCCCAGTAACTATCAGTCTACCTCGGTCCGCCACGTTCCCTCCCTGGACTCCATCTCCAGTGCCGTGGATGGGATCCACCTCCGTCCCCCATCTGCCCACCTGCCTGAGCCAGGACAGGTAAATCAGTGCTCCCCTCAGGCCCTAGGGCGGCGCCAAAGTCCCAGAGAGTGTGGTTGGGAACAGGGGAGTCGTGGGGGGAAGTCAACAGCCCACCTGCAAGCAGTAAGAGACTTTTGGGGCAGTTTTGGGGGGGGGGGCATGAGTGGGTTGACATCTGGGCTGTGAAACGTTCAGATCATCCCGAAATGGTCCTCAGAGTGTAAAGTCTAAATTTATTTAGCAGGAACTTTGGTTTGAAGCAGCACACAAGTGAAGGAAATGGCACATTACAAACATACAGCTGGTGAGGATTCAACTAGGCGTAAGTGCAGCTAGGCTGAGCTTCCAGCCAGTGCCCAGGTACAAGTGTAGTTAGTACTGGGAAAGAGTTACACAGCACCTTCCAAAGAAAGAAAGAACCTAATAAGACTACTGTTAATCGATGTACAGTGCAACATCAGGGACATTCAGGCTAGTAGAGGTGGTCCTGGATAAAGATTGGTCTTGGGGCATTTCATAAAGGTGGAGAGAAAATCTGGTGGGTAAAAAACATGGAAGTGTGTGTGTGTGTGTGTGTGTGTGTGTGTGTGAGAGAGAGAGAGAGAGAGAGAGAGAGAGAGAGAGAGAGAGAGATTTCAGTATAAAAGCTTCTGTATATTAATACTATTTTGAAGCATTCTTATTTCAAAATGTGTTTTTTGTGGCTTTGTGTGGAGGACCTTTGTGTGGTGACCTGGCTTGTTCCGACTGCCCCCCCCCCCCCAGCGTGCCCCCTCTCAGCGCGGCCCCCCCCAGCGTGCCCCCAGTCCCATGCTGCGCTGCGAGGGCTGGGAAGGACCCCGTGCCCCAAGCGAGGGCGGCACTGGCACTATGGCCCGGCCCGGCACGGGGACCCGCCGGAGCGCCGTGAGCTCGTGTGGCTCCGCCCCTGGCTGCCAGCGGCCCCGTGTACGTGGCCGTGAATCCGCGTGCACGTCTGTGCCGTGCCGTGCCGTGCCGTGTGTGTGCCCTTGGCATGTCCGTGGCATGTGCGTGTAACCCCTCCTTGTGGTTGCCCCTTGGCTGAGTCCTGGCCCTCACTGACCCCCCACCCTTCACCCTTCTGTCCCATCCTGAATTCCTTGTTTGTGTGATCTTACGAGGTCGCAGTTTTTTGTTTTGTTTTTTGGAACATCTGTCTCTGTGTCTAAAGGAAAGTCCTAGAAATGGATAAGAGCCAAGTTTTCTTTCAGCCCAGTGTTTCTCACCCCACCCCCCCCATCCAGTCGATGTTTTTGCTCCCTCCCAGCACACCTGAACCGAACAATCGAGAACTTCAGGTGTCCTGGCAGCTGGGGAGTCTGGGGGTCTGTGTGCAGTGATAGTAAATTGCCCCCTCCACCTCCCAGCAGGAACAAGGTATGATGAACAACGTGGCCCCCCGGCCGGGACAGGGCGGCCCCACCGCTGAGAATGGTACTGGCGTGCCCCCCCCATACGGCGCCTACCCCCACCACGGGGAGAGAACCCGGGCCCTGTCCACATCCAGCAAGGTGCGTCTCCAGCCCCCGCTTAGCCAGGGCGCCATGTGAAAAAACGATTCTCCGCTTGGAAGGTCCTCTGTTAGCACGTTAGCGGAGCCGGAGGACAGCTAATGCTTATTGTCTGCATTGGAATGTTTTATTATTGCAGTAGTACTTCTATTAATGAAAAATTAAATGACCAATAATCTTCCATATTGTTTTGTACTTATTGTATTTAGTATTTTTTTTTATGAATTATGGTTATAATTCATGAAGATATATGCTAGTAAACATAGTTGTAAGATACTTGTAAAATAACATGAGGCCTTATGAGCTTGAAGTTCCAGCTTCATTTCTGAGCCCATAAGCAGTATATCAGTGCAGGCTTGTGCAATTCCTTGTTTCTAGCAATAGGTGGCAGTGTTCCCCTCATCTTTATCAGTCACTGGACTCCGCTCCCACCGAGCCGTGTGTTTGTTTCCGGCCACCCTGCAAGCTGTCTGACCCAAGTCTCACCCCCCCCAGCCACAGACGGCGCGGGAGCAGCTGGCGCTGACGCTGAGCAGTGGGCTGAACTCGGAGGCGCCGCACACCAGCCACGACTCGCTGCACTGCTCCAGTGGCTACAGCACGCAGACCACCACGCCGTCCTGCTCCGAGGACACCATCCCCTCGCACGGTCAGTACCCCAGCCCGGTCCCCGCCCCCGACCAGCATGCCTGCCTGTCCGTCCACCAGGGGGCCGCGCCGGTCTGCACCCTCCGATACGCTCGTCTCAGCCGCCTCTGTCTGTTCTGTCACGGGGGGCATGTGGAACCTCCACCCACCTGCCAAGACGGCCCCCAGCCCCCAAAAAATAAAAACCACACACACGGTCATTTCGGAACCTCTCTTGGTACGCCTGAACACCCTTGCTGGCAGTCTTTGGTCTTTGAGCGCCATGATGCATCATTCTGAAAGCCTGCTTTGTTTTCCTTTCCCAGAAAACCTGCTGCTTGCTTGTATATTTCCGTTACAAATTGATATGACTTCCCCTTTTTTCAGACTTTTTTTTGCACATCTGTGTCTCCATTTACAATGTGTGTGGTTAGTGTTCTTCTCCTGGATGAGTGGTTAAATGTGGTTTTATATATTCTCTTTCAGCTATAAAGAAAGATCCTCCTCTTTATGGTAGGTCCCTGGATATCACACCCCCCCCCCCCCACCTCTCACTCATCTTCCGCTATGGAGATTGAATGCACATCCATCTCTAAAGTGGCGGGCTCGTTGCACGGCATGTTCCTACTGCTTTGTTGACGGAGTGGCGAAATGTTCCAGAGAGTTCAGTGTGGCTGCCAGCTCTGTAATGTTTGCCATCACCAGCGGATTATCCTGTCCATTGTTTGGCCATCCATCAAATGTCTCGGCTTAATGGCCGCACCCTCTTCCTTCATGCCTGGGAACAGCTCAGTCTGAAGTAAGATGAGGCCCCGCCCTCCGTGCTGAGGCCCCGCCCTCCGTGCTGAGGCCTGTGGGTTAGAGCTGCTCTGGGTTTCCACGGCAGCTCTGGTTGTGATGGCTTGTGAAGGTGCTGGGTGTCACTATGTCTCTCTTTCTCTCGTTCTCTCGCTCTTTTGCTCTCTCAGATTACGACTACATCTCCCTCCACGGTGGGGAGGAGACGCACAACCAGCCCAACTTCGATAAGTCCTCCACCATCCCCCGGAACAGCGACCTGAGCCTCAACTACCGCCGCATGTTCCAGGCCAAACGGCCGGCCTCCACTGTCAGCCTGCTGGCTGACCCCGAGCCGCTGCCGCGACCCCCTCACGTGGCCACCATCCGTCGCAAGCCCTCTAGCAAGCCGGCCTTCCGCCGTGGCACCATCAGCGGCGTGCCCATCCCCATCAGCACCCCCCAGGTGCCGGGGGGCGGTGGCGGTCGCTCGGACCTGGGCCATGGCAGGCCCAGCCTGTGCGTGTCCACGCAGAGCCTCAGCGCCGCCTCCTCGCCGTACTGCTCCCTCATCCCCGGGCAGCCTGTGATGGTTCAAGTGGAGCAGCTGCACCAGTTTTCCAAACAGCAGCAGCTGCACCACCTACATCAGCAACATCAGCACCAGCAGCCGTTACCATGGCAGCATCAGCACAAACAGCATGAGCAGCAGCTCCAGTCGTACGCCCTCTCCAACCCGGCTGGCAGCCCCGTGGATAGCAGTCCCTGCCCGCACCCCTCTGTCATCCAGCCGACCCCCCCTGCAGTGCTGGCAGAGGCGGGGCCAGAGCCCCCCGTAGGCGGAGACATGCTGAGCATGATCCGCCGCGGGGTTAAGCTCCGACGGACTGTGTCCAACGACCGCTCTGCTCCGATGTTGACTCCCGGTCCCTATAACTGATGCCACGCGCCACCTCCCCCCTCCGTGGAGACACGGTACTCTCTACATCTCCCTCTCCACTGCGGTCTCCTCCTCGACTTTCCCACCGGGACTTCAGCTTCCTCCTCCACCCTTGAAGACAACCTGCCGTTCAGAGTCATCACCCGGCGACGGGGGTTTGCTCAGTTCTCTGTGTGACCTAATCACGCCTCGCGCTGCAAAACTGAAACTCATCTGGAATAGAGACATCGTGCTTATTTAGCGTATAGAGTCTTAATAATACGTCATTGCAGACGCAGGACATCTGTATATATCACCATCGTATACAGGAAATGTAATCGTACTTAGTTTTGGTGTCTCCGCGCAGACGAGGCGCACTGCCTGTTTCGTACTGGGTTGCCACGGTGGCAGGCAGGAGGGCTGATCATTCGCTCACGCCTGGGTTCAGTTACAGGTCAATGAAAGGGCAGGATTAAAGAATAGGGGGTGACGCCAGTGGTAGAACCAGGGCTCTGACACTGCGAGCAGCTGGAAGGGGCTGCTGTGGGCTCGTGCCAAACTGGACCCAGTACCAGCGTTCCTTGTTTGGAGAAGGTTCAGCAGTTATGTTCTCTTCTATAGGTATATTTTCATATGTATTACCAGTTCTTCATTTCTCAGTTCAGTTCTGACTGCTTCCTTTCCAGTAGGAAGTTGACCTGATGGCAACTACATGGTGCTTGCTGGGGGGGGGGCAGGTCAGGACAGCTGAGCCGGGGGCTCCTTGGCTGGTCTGGTGCCCCTAGAAGGATTCTGAATGGTGTCAGAGGTCAGGTTGATTAGCCCTAAAACTGATTTTAATATAGCTTGGTGGTACCTTCCGGGGCTGGTGATGTTGGAGATGTTGTGGCCTTTTTTGGTCATATGTTATTCTGGGTTCTGAAGAATGACCTGGATGGTTTTACTGCTTCTGCTACTTGAGGGTGTGAGATGCTTTTCTGAGCTGCATTTTCTGATTTCTAGATGAAGGGTTTTTATTTTAATGGGAGTTCCTGTGTTATGAGTGGGTCGTCATCTACCTTTCAGGTATGCCTTACCCCCCCCCCCCCCCCGTGTGATATGTTTGAGGGTGGGGGAAGCCACACAGTGCCACGCTTAATGGCCCCACGTGACGTCAGAGGTGACAAACATTCATCTCCCACCCTTAGGTATTAATACACGGACCAGTCACAGCCAAGTGATTTTTCTAAGAATTGTGTTTATTCTTTCTGCCCGATTAACTGAGAATACTTTTTTGACATTACTTAATTCTAACGAATTCTTGTTAGAACGAAGTTCATGAACTTATTAGTTTTATTTAATGCATATTGAAGTAGACCTGGTTGGGGTGACTCAAGGCTTTTTGGGATTCATGGTAAAATTGTGTTCAGAGAAGTTAGGTGGTTTGTAAACACCCCCACCCCCCACCCCGGCCACTGCCGCCTGGCACTCCAGTCTCCCTTCTGGATCCAAAAGGCTCAGTACTGCTGGGCCCGTTCTGAGATGGCATGATTCTGCCGGTACCAGTCCAAACCTCACCCTATTTGATTTCACTCAGGATGCGAGTGGAATGAACCAGTAAGAATCTTGGGTTACCACTGTGGGATTCTGTGTAGTGGACCAACACTGATTTATATATATGACCAACTCTTGGGAAGTATTTTTAAACCCCTCAGGCAAAAATAAAAGTACACTGCCCTTAAAATATGGGGGATATGTTCCTTCAGACCACAAAGTTTTCTACTGTTTAGTTATTTTTTTAAAGTAATTGACAGTTGCTATTGAATTTGGTGTGATAGATGTCCCCTTCTTCGTGTGATTGGGCGTGCTTATGCTTACATTCAGGCGGCGTTCGGTCGCTGTGGAGACACCCAGCTGGCCTGGGATTTTCTTCACCTGTGACGATTGCCCTGCCCCTTATTGTCTCTGACAAAAAGGACACTTGATCTTCAGTCACACCTATTGCCTGCGTGATCTCTACCAAGCCACACCTCTCACCGCCGTCTGGCCCGGGACTGCGGGGGTCTGGCTCTGCCGCTTCACGCTTTGTGTCTCCCTTATTATGAAGTCTTTGAAGGGCTATCAGGTGGCAGTTAAAGCCGGTCCCTATGTAACTCTCCCATACCTCTCATCTGCAGAGTTATTGTGTAAGTGCTCCATGCACCTTAACAGTAAGACGCAGTAGATTTTGGATCTCGTCTGTTTGGAGTGAGCCGGACTTATGGCCCCATCATCAATGCTGCTTCCCACCCCAGTCGGTCTGCAGGCACAATGGACTGTAGATACAGCCCCCCCCCCCCTTCATTTAAGAAAAGAAACCTTTACTGTACATATTAAAGGTCTGTGTTCGTTTTTATTTATTGTTTTTTCGAATAGTTTCGCGAGAGGCTTCTGTATCTCAGATCGGCGAGTCGGATGGAACTGTACACATTATTGGAAAATCCCCCTCCCACCCCCACCTCGTCATGGGATATTGGAACGTGCTGGGCAGCTCCCACTGAACAGGGATTTGCAGGTCAACGCAGCAGGGAGCCCCGGCCAGGGACTGGAGGACTCAGTCGACACCGGACCGGTCCACTTTACCAAAGAGGGTGATCGTCACCCGGTCCAACGAAGAACATGGTCTTAATGGGATAAATAATTTGCATTTAAACTGTTCAAAACTGGTTGTTTTCATTGAATTCTTTCCCTTGGCTGTGGAAAGCAAATATATTTACATGCTTCTATGTAAAATGGCAGAGACTAGAGAGTTGAGAGAGATCAAGGTGTTGGCAATGTATTTAGATCAGCTTCTACTGTATCAGTCTTGGGTGTTTTTTTTTTGGGAGTTGATCTCTCATTGTAAATCATCATTGTACATTGCGGACATTTAAATTCTGTCTCTGTAGTAAAGATAGAGCTTTAACTGAATTTTTTTAAATACAGAAAGTGGGAAAAAGTTGACTGTTCTTACTTTTATTTGCTAAAAGAAATCAGCTGTTCTTTGTAGCCTTTAATCTTTTTTTCTCAATCAGTGGCAACAAACAAGCTAATCTTATCTGGAAAGGTTATATTCAGATTTTATTTTTATGTGAAGGTTATCGGCCATCCTTTTGGTTATCGTTTAGTAGATTTTTTTTGTGTTCTGTGTGACTCGGCACCATAAATACATTTGTTGTGCTGTTCAGTGACACCTGATCACCAGACTGGAGTGATCTCATGTGGCCTAAATACAGATTTAGAGGTTTGTTGCATTTCTGACTCATCTGCCTTCTTAATGATTGCCAGCAGGGGGCGCGCATGTCACAAAGCTGTGGCGAAAGGCAACAAGGTAAAGCGATACTCTTTTACAGATGGATGAATCGTCCGGATGATGAAGATAATTGCTCCGATTTCTTTTTGCATGCTTTTTAAAACACTATGGCTGCTGCGTAGATTAAGGTTAAAAAAAAAAAAAAAAGAGAGAGAGGAATTAGTCACTGGACTTTGGTGAATGACACAGACTTCACCTCTCCCTGCGAATCGCTTTGATCGTCCGCTGCTGAGTCACTTCCAGGGTCCCGGAATGACGCATGGCCGCAGCAGACACTGCATCCGAACGTCCGTGCAGCTGGCCCATCTGTCATGCCGTTGCTGCTCTGCTGTGGAAATGACCAGACGGTCGGCTACATTTATTTTCGGGTCCCCTGCGTTTCCGCCACTTCATTCTTGCTTTTTCCTCATTTAAAATCACAGCTGGTCCTGATGCATATTTGAAATCCCGCCTGCATTTCAGTTAATGCTTTAGAAATACGTTAAGGAATTAAATTCAAGTAACCGCAAAGGAGGTCATAAGTTCAGCTTCAGATTTTTTTAGGGTTGGCTGGATCAACCTACGTTGTTATCCATCACAGAATGACGGGAAAATGAATATTTTATCCGACTACTTCCTCATAGATAGACGTACCAGAAAAAATGATTTTCAGAACAAGGACTGGTAAGTTCAGTCACAGTTGCATGTGTCAGGACAGATAGGAATGCAGTGATGTCTTACATCGTCTCATAATCAACAATAATCTCATGACCAACATGGGACAGTAAATCAGTTGAACTTTCTTGATGCCAGGGGTACATTCTGGATGGCACACAGATATCCACAGTAATAATTTTGTTCAGAGTGTCATAAAATAGTTCAAATGTTCTGTTGTGTAAACAGAAGCATAAATACAGAGACTGATAATGCAGATGGTGTTATGGAAGCGGTTCTCTGAATGATTAACGCGACTCCTATAATAGGTGACGCATGAATGTTAGTCAGAGTGAGGATTAAAGACCCATTTGGCCAGGACTTAATCTAATTCTTCCATGAATGGGAGTGGCCCCCCACCCCCACCCAAACACAGCCGTGGGGAATTATCTCTAACTTGAAAGAGTTGATAGAAAAGATACTGATGAGCCACATTCCAGCTTCTGCTTCGGCCCTGGGCACTTGGATCTCGCCGTTTCTGGTGCCATTTGTATGGCTGGCTTTCTGGACTTAGGTTCAAAGTACGGTAACTGTCTTCAGTCCCACGGATTGTTCAGGTGCCATCTAAACTGCCCCCACCCATGGATAATAAACCTCAACGGTGCAGACCGTGTCATAAACACTCCTTGTGTTCTTTTAGTTGGCCAAACTCTATCCCTTGCTCTGCCCCTTGTACCAGTTGTAAATATTAACGTTTTACTATTTCAGAGGTGTGGAGTCTGCGTTCTGTGCTTAGTATTTAGGTCACCGTGCCCCTTCCTGTGACAGAGGTGGCTTTGTCCTCATTGACTGTATCGTATCAGTTCTTATCAGTCAGATGTGGTCTGGACTCCAAAGTCTTGACAGGGAACAAAACGGCAAACAACGTAGGGAAGTATATATCATAATAGTCAGCTTTTTAATGGATTTATTGCTTTCCTGCATTACTTCTGAAGTACCACTAGATGCCCTCATTATTTAAAAATCTCTAAGTGCCCTAAACTGGTTTGCCCATACCCCGACCACACACGCTGGCTGCATGCTACAACAAGCCAGTCAAAATGCAGGACCCCCCTCCAGTCTTCCCCCACCCTCTGCCGGCTTGTAAATGTAGTGAAAGTTTGGTGTGACTCAGACAGCACACTAAACCAGGTTTAAAAACGAATCCTGTACATTGTACGTTATAAGCTGTTTCTGTGTTTCTTTTTGGTCAGGGGCTAGGAACTTAAATACTTGTTTCATGAATGAAGCTGGTGTTCACTGCACTTTCCTGTTTAAAATATGTTGTGGTATTAATGGTTTCCCGGGTCTGAATCACGCTGCCACATTCTTTTGCCCGCCATAAAAAGCCAGGTCCCGCTTCTGCTTGCGCCCTGTGGCGCCGGTCTTTTGTTCCTCACCGCGCCGATTATGGCAGAAGGAAGCCCGCGAAACTTCAGCCAATCTGGGCGGAGGGGGCGGGGCCTGTCCAGGGGAGGGGGTGAGAATTCCTGTATGCTCTTTGACAAAGGGAGGGCCTGTTTCCCCGCAGCATTATGCAAATATCTGGACAGCTGCCAGAGGCAGATTCTTCCAAAGGACACCCCTGAGAGAAAGAGAGAGAGAAAGTAGGATTGTGAAGTAATTTAATGTCTTGCATCTTGAAGCATGACTCAGTTTCCTGTTTCAACAGCTTCCCCCAACCCGCAAACTGACTTTTGTGCCTCTGGCTTTGCTGGGCAGAACTGTGTATACACGCTAGAAAAATAAACTCAGTCAGCAGGCAAACATTTTTAACAGAAACTATTTAACTGTTTTGCGGTTTTAAACATAGTAGGTTGACCCTCAAGAAAAGCTTTCTGGGAGAGCTGAGGTAACACACAAACAAACACGAAAACATGTCCTCCCTCTGAAGCCGTGTGGAAGAGGGTGTCGGTTAAGATGGTCAGTGAAAATTCCTCCATGTGCAGAAGGTCAAAGGAGAAAGGTTACGACCCAAACAGCTGGGGGAAATGATGGCTTTTCCTTGGGGCACGGAGGAGGGGACAGTAAATGGCTTTGTAGTGGGCTGGAGACAACCTGTTTCACTCGTGTTTCCCAGCCACTACAGGCATCTTCCACTCATCACTGGTACCATCCCATGCCAGGGGGGCTTGGTGGGGGGAGGGTGTGTCAGGCTGGCTATGAGGTTTGACACAGCACACCCCTGGGACGTTGGTGCTGGGTGAGCGGTGGTGGTTGTGGGGGCGGGGGTCAGCGGTTCCTGAGAAACAGTCAGCGTTAACCACAAGGAGGGATCTCACCCTGAAGGCTGGCCTTTATGGAGCGGAGGGGGGTTGGGTTGGTAGTTGTGTCGATTGACAAGACTACCGACTGGTGACCTCTTTCGCTGGGCTGCCCTAAGGTCGTGGTGTCGGGTTACGGGCCCGGCAAGCTTTCGCAGGGTGTGCCTGCGCTATTACTGATGAGAAGGACCCACCAGGACATCCCACGTAGCCAGAGATCTGACACAGGCTCATCGTCTGCGGTGATGCATTGTTCCAGCCCGTCAATGGATAGCTGACTAACAGATGGTCGAGCATTTTTGGCAGAGATGGCCCCGATCTCCGGGGACCCCTCGTACTCCGGTCAGCCCCTCTCGGCTCTTCGTCCTCAGTGAACCCTGGCACGGTGCAGTGTGAGCTCACCCAGTCACTGCCAGGAATTCCTCTGAGTCAGAAAGCCCCCAGAGTTCTTTGGCTCTGTGTTGGAGCTCAGCTATGAGAAGTTTTTCCCTAAAGTGGGCTGCAGTTTCACCGCCAACCCCCCTCTCAGTATACACTGAGAGCCATTTAAACCAAGACTCGCGTCTTTCTTCCAAGCCAGGCCTATCTGCAGATGTTTTGGTTCCATCTGTGAGGTTGTGCCTACACTCCCCTGAGACTCCATTATGCAATGTTATAAAACCATCGGCACGTTTAACTGAAATGACTCTCGAAAGGAGAACTCCTTTTTCTTTTTTCCTTTTTCAAGCCTTTGTGATGATGTTTGCTGTAGGTCATCACATCTTTAAAGCGGTCATTCTCAAGGGCCCAACTCCTGCTGTGAAGCATGTGTGAGTGATGTGTGAGTGATGTGTGAGTGTGTGACAGTCATATTCTGTTTTTTTGCAAAAATAAAATGGGATTTGTTACACAAGGTATATCCAGTTATGAATCTGGGCAATTGATTGTCTCCTTATATTTTTCTTCATTTGAATTTTAATTAATTTAGCAGACACTTTTATCCAAAGTGACCTACAATTGAGCAGCAGGGTCAGACTGTCCCTGGAGCCACTGGGTCTCGCTCCGGTGCCCGATGGTAAAATCACTGTGTTAATCCTGGGATTCAAACCTGCGACCTTCTGAACAAATAGACAGCAGCCAAACCTACCCAGCCACACACCAGCCCACCATGTATCGAAAGATGCCCTCAATATTTATAGGGGGCCAGAAGGGTCTGATAGCCCTTAAGGTTCAGGACAGGTTCATCAAGTCCTCTCGCTCACCTGAGATCAGTCTATTAGCCGAAAGTGTCCTCCTTCCAGCCAAATGGTTAATCTGGTGTGAAAAACTAGAGTTGCATTTGCGGTGGTACCAGCAGAGGGGGGGGGGGGGGGGGTGAGTGAGGCGACTCTGAGTGCCGCCTGCCCCGTTCCCGTTTCCGTGGTGGTTCACAGCCTTACTTTGTCCTCGTTCCAAGTACACGTCCCCTGCTTTTTGCACTTTGGTGCTGCATGACCGGCGAGCTGGCTGTGTTTGAAGTGTGATGATAAAGAGTTAATCATTAGCAGTTTTTAGCCTCTTAATAAGAATCATCTGGCTGAAAATATAAACGTTGCCTCACTTCCGTTTCCTTACCACGAATTGCTTCTATACTTCTTCAGAGGTAAACTGTCTCCTGCAGTCTCCCCCCCCCCCCAGACATTTGTACTTGTTTAAAGATACATATCAGAACACGCACAGACATCGAGGGACTGTAGTAATATGAGGGAGTTTTACATTTCGTGCGGCAGGCTTAACATACGGCTTTGCACGCCTCTATGCTTGATGACACTGTAGGAAGTATCAGGTGAAAGGTAGGTGCTATTGATGAGGAGTGAAGCCATGCAGACCCTTGCACCGCTATTACGTTATGGTAGCGAGATGACCCCGAAACCCGACAGCTGCTAATGTTTGAAAGGAGTGGAACTCCAATACATGGGTGTGTTAAAGGCACTCTGTTTGGCTTGTGCAAATTAGACATTCACATAGTTGCTGCGTCACAGATAAC